TTGTGAAGTTTTGTTGTTTTTGTAAATTATTGAGACTTTAGGAAGCCTTTGTTTGTTATCAGCAAGGACTATATCAAAAAGAGTATATTCATGGTTTGGGTTGGGAGGTTTGGGAAGAGGGCCTCCCTCCTCCTTGTTTTTACCTTGAGATGAAATTTTGTTTTCTTGGGTATTTCCTAATTTGGTAGTTTGGTACATTATTATTATTTTTCATTTATTTTTAAAAATTTATTAATTTATATTAAAAATTTAAAAAAATTAAAATTTTTGATATACTGTATATATTTCAAATAATATTGTGACTTATTGTTACAAATTAAGAGATAAAAATTGTTACAATGCAATTTTTAATTTTGTAACATTCATAATAGTAATTTTGACTTTAACAGAAAAAGTAAAAAGTAGAAAAAAGATTATATTTTATAAGTTTAAATAATCCAATTGATTTTATTTATTAGAAGCAGTGTAATAAGCATTGTAATTTTTTTTAATAAACTTTATTAAGTTTTTTTTTCTTGCTCTTTATATTTTTTATATCAATTATTTTATATTTTCTTACATATAAAAAAAAATAACTAAATAACTAAAATTAAAAAATAATAAGGTTGAGGGTCAATTATCTTTTTTAGACAACCTCTATAATATGTTATTGTTATTTCACAAATTAAAGCCATATCATCAATAGTTATTTCCATAATATTATAAATTTTACAAACTATAATATAATTTAGTGTTATGTTTTTAAGTGCTAATTTATATTGAATAAATTTATAGAAAATGTTATTTATATTGAATAAATTTATAAAAAATATTATTTTAATTAATAAAAACAATATAATATAATAATATTGTAACAGCAAAAAAGAATTATTTTAAACAAAATAAACAATAAAATAGTTAGTTTTAATGTATTTTACACTTTATTTTACACTTTTATTTTCTAAAAATTTTTTCTAAAATTTTTTCTAATCCATATTTTTATAAATGTTTTCTATACAGTATTCATGATTGCAATTTACATGATTTTATTACAATTTATTATATACAAACTACATGATTGTTTTTTAACATGTTACTATTATTATTAGTATTAAAATAATAACAAATAAATAGTCATAATAATTTAAAATTTTCTAATTAATAAACTAACATTAGTCTCGTGTGTATGCATATGCCTTGAGCATTGGTGGAGATGTCGACTGCAATGGAAGGGTTATTCGTAATGGATATTTAAGAAACGTAGTGACAAACAGATTAATACAAAATAATCAAAATAATATAGTATCCAAGTGATATTTAAAAAAGGGTTATTCGTAATGGATATTTAAGAAATGTAGTGACAAACAGATTAATACAAAATAATCAAAATAATATAGTATCCAAGTGATATTTAAAAAAGGGTTATTCGTAATGGATATTTAAGAAATGTAGTGACAAACAGATTAATACAAAATAATCAAAATAATATAGTATCCAAGTGATATTTAAAAAAGGGTTTTTACTATATTGTATTCGTGAAGGTGATGAGATTACCTATTATACAGTATAAAGGTTACGTTCTATGCAAACCCTGTTTACTTTAAACTAGCATTGCGTAAATAACAAACATGAGTTCCACATCTGATTTCCCTTTTGTAATAACGTAATTCAACTTTATATTGGGAGCTCCATTTCCTTTCCGTTCTCAGTTTAAATTGACAATTGCTCAAGCACATATTTCGGCATAAATATGAAATGATAGAACTTTCTGAAATTCTTTGTTAAGTTTAGACGTTTCTTCATCAACATTTTACTATTAAGATATCAAGATACCGAAAAAAGAAACTCTTAACACGCATTGTTATAAAGGTCAATCTATTATATTTTAGGAAATAATAATGACAAAAAAGGTTTGAATCAATAATACTATAGAAAATTCATTTGATAACGCATTTTCAGAAACCAAATTAGGATTAAATGGTCAAAATTTTCTGCTTTTATAATTAGGGAAATTAGGTTGTAGGAGCGAATAAAAACTTTATCTGTAAGGATGTCTTGTCAGATTCCAAATAATATTGAAGGTGTCGATGCTGATGGAATATGTGAAATCACTTTTCATGTTCACATGCCGAATAAGTTTGACAGGTCACTGCAACCGGTGGTTCTTGGAAGTGTTAGAGAATTAGGAAACTGGTCCTGCCCCGTTGTCAAGTTGCGTCAAAACGACACCAATTCTACATATTGGTTTTCTGATCCAGTTAAAATTTGTATTAAAGATCACTCAATTCATTACAAATACGCGTTGTATCAACCGATAAAAGAAAAACAAGACATGTTTGATATCATTAGAGATAAGGTTCTTGGTGATCGTACGATTGTGATGGAAGGTAATTCGGATAATGACAATCGATTACTATCCTATAGAGGCTTTCAATATGATGTATGGAAAGACAACTATTATAAGAAACTATACAGTCCAGACCTTACTAAAGATTACAAGTTTGTTTACGTAGTATACGAGTCAGTGACTTTGGAAAATATTAAAGAAAAAATCAAGGAATTTCAAGCACTATTAAAATATCAGCCGAGTCTGACTGCAGATGCAGTTGATATTACCTTAATTCGTAACCTTGTTGCTTCTTCACGCGAGGACTATCAACGAATCTTTATATGTTTTTTATTGGCATTCTACATTAATGTCACTCAAGAGAGAATGGAGCATCATACACGCGTCCGACTACCAGAAAATTTTCCTTCGATCAATTTATTACAAGCGCTAGAGAAAATTAGGTCGGAAGATATACCTAGTGATGCTAGAATTCTGTTCACCTTGGCGACTTCAGCTTTGGTTCGACACAATTCATCAAAGCGCAATGTATTCGATTGGATGAAAATGTTTGCTATAGCGCCTGTTGTCGATCCGTTGTATACATTCTTGGTTAATATTGAAAAACACAATTATGATCAAAGAAACCAAGTTTTAAATTTTTATAATTTGCTCAAAAGAAACGTAAAACCGTATCTCGACAGAATCGACAGACCACATATTTATCAATCGGCCATAGAGGTAAGCGGCTTTTCGATAGTTATCGTTCTGCATTGCGCGTTAGCATTTTGTGTAGATACTGTACGTACTAATCCATCCATTGAACTGCTCACAGAAAATAATAGAAATTTCTTTTTTTGATATGGAATCATGTGATTTCTTGATGCATGAAATGATTGGAAAAGAAAGAATGGATGAACGGATTAAACGTTCCATCCACAAATTTGTCAGTCAATATATAGACTCGGATGATCCACGAAATTTGAAACAGCATTTTAAATTTATATCCGAAGACCTTCGCGTAGAATGTGCCCCAGTTTTTCGCAGACATTTTTCAAAATTCTTGAGCAACAATAGAATCTCATGGAAATCCGAGTATTCGGAGCCGATGTTTTATCTATTTGCTCAATTATTCACAGCGGAGACAGATATCATGCAAGCGTTGGTGTTACTGACGAAGTCAAGAAATGTTGATTTACTGCTGTCATTTCCAAAGTGGTTGAAGCTCACATTGGAGTCTAAAAATGTCAAAATTGACTTTAAAGCAAAAATTCCAGCTCTTTGCGAGGAATGGTATTCGACCATAATTTCTGCGGTCACGAATCAAAAAGATATAAGAAATCCAGTGATCTTTCTTTATCAACAACTTTCCGCTATTTCCTTTGTTCTTCAAAGAAGGCCTGATATCTACAAAAAATTAGTGGATACTGTCGAACAAAAGATTCTCAATTTACCTCAAGAATGGCTGTTTAAGGCTACATCTTTTGTGGGTAAGCTGGAGTCACGTATTGTCGGGGATTTCGAAAAAGTTCTTAGACAGAGACTGAAGTCACCATTGAGTAGCGACACCAACGATGATGCCGTAATTAAAATTATTTCTCAGATTTGCAACTCATCAGGTTCTTCCTTGGATGTTCCTAATAGGTGAGTTGGTTAAATAATGTCCTATACCTTCCCAATAAGTGTTAAATATCCATCTTTCGTATTTTCTTTTTTCAATAGGCTGTGCGAAAATGTGCTCTGCCATATACTAGATAAAATTCGAGATAAAGCGATAGTGTCCAAAATTCATAATGCCAGTAACGATCACTTGCAACTACTACATTTCAAATCATCTAAATTATGGATCTTCTTATTGAACGCCACTGGTGAAGTTAACGAGTTATTCAATCACCCACATGTAGAGAGCGTTCGTTCAAAAATTTCTCAGCTCGTCCGTGCAATAGAGGATCAATCAATCATGATCAAAATGCTTAATCCATTACTTGAATTCCCAAATGATATATTGACTAGTTATTTTAATGCGGGAATCGGTACTAAGGAGAAAAAAATTACCAACGAAATGTTGGATTCCCTTAGAGAGCAATTGCGCGAACATTTAAATACCGTTGAAAACCTCTTTTCCTTCTACAATAGGTGGTGCAACAAGGCTGAAGATACTCAAGCTTACCTAGATGATCTTACTGAAAAAGTGAATAACATGAATAATATACCATTTCTTGAAATGATCAATCCAGATTATTGGTCAATTCATAATGAGATAATCGAGGTCAGCCGAAGAGCATACCAATATGAAAATTCCCAAACCTTTGCAAATGTATTTGAGGCAGACACGAATGAAGAAGTTAAAAAAAGTGTGTTTCTTGTGTCGCAGGCCTTTGGAAATTCTTTGCTCGAAAGATATCAAAGAATTTGCATAGAATATGAAAACTGGAAACATATCAGGTGTTGCGAAGCGCGACCTCTTTGGAATGGAATCGCCAGCGAACAGGTCAAACATGAACTGGATCAGATGGTCGGTGATGCAACATGGTACCGACAAACGCAAAATGATTTGCTTAGATCAATAGAATGCCTGGTTCAATTTCCGTCCTTGTTCGCACAACTCGAAAACCTTTCGAATGTCCTCACTCAATTTAATATAAAGAATAAGGAGAAGTGCTGGGCAATCGAAATGCTAAACACTTTAGAAAATACCAATATTATTTTAGGAGATTTACAAGACTTTCTTAAAAAGTACAATCGAAAGTTTGGTGCTTATAGGGAATGCTGGTCTCTCATAAAAGAACTTTCATTTGCCGAAGAATTCATTGATTTCCTGCTTAAAAAATTGGTTGGACGTGATCTAACAAATCTCATTGACGGTAACCAAGCTTCAATTTCTAGTAATAAAAAAAAATCACAATCCCACAATATTAATTGAAAATGCTTCCAATTTACTGTAGCTGTCGATGATCTATCAGATACAAAGTTACTTCAAGAGAAAATCGTGGATGCTTTAATAGAGGTCAACGAAGCGTTAACTCCCCTCAGTGAAGAATCGTCACGGTCTTCAATTGATTCATTCTTAAATTGCTTATCTGAAGTATCGAAAAAACATTCATCACTCGCTTCAAAGATAGGTTACTGTAGCTCACATAATCTGACTCTACAGAATATGTATCATAATATAGCAATAAGAGGTGAGGTTACAAAAGAACGAATTAAAAATGCAGCGACCTTTGGCCTCTATACATTTCAACACGTGGAAAAGACAAATCTATGCGAGGTTGTGCTAACTTATGACACAACGCAAAATCATGACGACACAAACTCCACACCTCGCGTAACAGCATCCTACAATTTAGCAGATCTCCATGATCATGCACTCTTGATAGGAAAATATAGAGCCTCCACCGATCGATCAAGTGGAGAAAATGATATTCAAGATATTCATAAAGACATAAACACGTTTATTACGCAAGTCGACTTGGTACAACAAATCATAGATGTGGCTTCGAAGTTGATTCAGTTGGGACATTTTCTTTATCAGAAGATGAAGGTTGAGGCACGCGGTGTTTCCGAACTTCAGGATGTGCTGGATAAACTAGCACAGGATCTAAAAACATGGGAAGACATAGTCATTCGTGCGCAAAATGAACATTATTATTTGACTTTCTTCTCTGCACGTCATATCTTGGCTTTTTACAATTATTTTAGAACCGATAATCTCGAACAGGATGACAAACTTAAAGAAGTCTGCCAGAATCTTATACGATTCGTCAATGACGCAGCTCAATTACCAATTAAAACCGGAAAATGGAATACCGTTCAAAATCAAGACGATATTTTTCCCGTTCTCTGCAAGATTGGTGCTATACTATACGATATCTTTTCTGATATCCCACAGCAAATTCGATCTATTCCAGATACTCTGAAACTGGTGATAGCCGATACCGTTTTTAGAGGACAAATATTTGTGGCAGCTTGTCATTCACATTCTCTGGTTCCAAATGTTATCTTATCGCTCTTTGCTAACCACCAGTCTTTTCCTAAACCATGGCAAATTCTTATCTGTCAAAGTACTACCGCTGCGGAAGAGATAACGCTTTTCATTAAGCGTTCTTTCATTGCTGCAGATAACGAATATAAAGATTATTTATTTTGCATTGCAAACGTTGAGTTCCTGGATTTTGAATTACAAGATATTTTGATTCGGACCATTCACAATTTTAAACAAAAAAAGAAAGACTATCTTCTGGCCCTCGTATGCACTTATGAATATGGTAGGAACCATCATATTCTAGATAAATTCGTAGAAAATGTGCACGTTACAGATGGTCTTGATGCGGAGTCTATGGAACTTTTGTACCAAGAAATTCGTCCCGACGTTGAATGCGTGACATCCAAAATGTCCGGACAAGGAAAAACAGAATGGATTAAAGAATTCAGTTTTCAAAGAGAAAAAGTTCCACGCACCTTGTTGATTAGTGATGGTGCACACTTTCGAACCCTAGTTCGACAGTTGGCCGATTGTAATTTAAGAGCCGTTGAAAGCCTACACCTTGATATTAGGTTTATCACACACCCATATGAAGTCAATTTCTTTCTATTTGAATTGCTGACGTTTAAAGTAGTTTCAAATGGTTTTGATATTGTGCATCTGCCTGATACTTTAATATTTATCGAAATCGCGTCAACAATCAAACATTATCTGCTGGATTCATTGCCTATCATCAAATACCTACGTCGACAAAATCTTGAATGGAACATGGATAATCTAATGGTGTCTCGGCATGTAAATAGCCCTGTTCAAATAGTTTCTCGCTACCTAGATCAGTATTCTCGTGAAACTATTGATGAAGAAAATATCCGATTTACGGGGGATAACGCGATTGGCGAGCCACTACCGGCCGAACGCTGTCGACAATTATTACGGCAGTATTTTTTTGACGGTCAGAAAGATGACATTCATTCTTACAGATTCCTGGAAATTTTCATGAATTTACTGGCGGATCAGTTGGTTCGATTTTCCGAAAGTTCTTTCTTTAAAATAGAACAGCTACGTGTTATGATACAGGAAACAAATATTCGCTCATCTCTTCTGAAGATATTGATTACATGCTCTAAAGAATTTGCAACAAGAGCGATAAATTTTAAAAATAAGCAAGAAGAGAACAATCGAGCCATTCAAGAGGGCGATACTCAAGACATAGACAATGTACGACTTGGGAATGTTACACAATGGAACGATTCAAATCATCTCATGATTGTATTCCTATCACAAATGCCAGATTCAATATGCGCGCTTTACCGAGAAAAGAACAAAGTGCCAAATAATGTGAAGAATCTATTAAAGAGTCAAAATGCGGAATTACAGGATTATGATTCGATGGAACCATCTCTTCTTCTAGAACGATTGGAGCAACTCGTCAGACAAAAAATGCACAAACTCGATGGTTTGCCCAAATACGCGTTATCAATCGAAAATTTGCTCAAGATGGCGATGATATTATTAAGATCCCGTGCAAATATACCGGTAGTTTGTTGTGGAGAAGCTGGTTGTGGCAAGGTTCGAATGAACTAGACAAGTTAAATATATCGTTCCTTTTTAATTGTTGATCGCTAACTTTTTTATTATATTAAATTTTATTCAGACAAGTTTAATTAGCTTCTTGTCAATGATCATGGAAGTAAATTTTGTTACGTTGAATCTTCATGCTGGAATTCATGAAGACGATATTCAGAATTTTATGAATGAGGCCACAAAACTTGCGCAAAAAGGTGAAACTTGGGTGTTCTTTGATGAGATAAACACGTGTGACCACATCGGAATGTTTGGAAATTTGATCGCCCATCGACTTCTTAACGGAAGACTAATTCATCCAAACATTCGAATATTTGCCGCTTGCAACCCGTATCGACTACGGATCAAGGCTCAGAGCAGTGTGGGACATTCGGCAACACAATACGAAGAAAAAAACATTTTGGCTTACCGAGTAAACCCCATGACTGATCAAATATTAGATTATGTTTGGGATTATGGCGGTCTTAAAGTCGATGATGAACGTAATTATGTTGATATAATGGTAAAAACTCAGTTGAGTCACCCATATTTTGCAGAACTATTATGTGCATCTCAAGAATTCATTCGCAAGGTCGAAGAGCCATTTAGCGTTAGTTTACGAGATGTAAAACGTGCAATCAAACTTTTCAAATTTTTCAGCGTCAGCTCTAAAAATATGGAGTCAAAGAATGAAATTTTTTCACATGAAACTCGTTCTTTGGTGTTAGCTCTGGGTGTGTGCTATCTCTTCAGGCTTCACGATCAATTTCAGCGTAAAAACTACCGGAAGAAAATGATTGAAATCATAAAAAACCATCAACCCAACTTCAACACACCGCCAAACGCTCGAAATGATGCTTTTGAAATGATAATTCGAAATGAACAAGATGAATACGTCAAACATATGAAAAATTGTCCTGACGGGACCGCTTGGAATGAAGCGCTCCTAGAGAATATCCTCGTGATTATTGTATGTATCCAAACTCGAATCCCTGTCTTTATAATTGGCGCTCCCGGAAGGTATTATAGTTGGATTTTTTTTTTTGAAAAATCTTTATTCACCGTAATTCTAACGAAAGGCAATTTACATCTTTCTTTCAGTTCAAAGTCTTTGGCCGTACGAATTATCAGTATGAATTTGCACGGAATAGATTCTAAGGATTCTTATCTTCGAACCTTGCCTCAAGTCTACATGATTCCGTATCAAGGTTCATCATTGTCAATCTCCGAAGGAATCGAGAAAGTTTTCCAATCCGCTCAAAATTATCAAGTGTGTAGTTCAAAAGAAAACCCTGTTACATCTGTCGTCCTTTTAGATCAAGGTAATAAAACTTGAAGAATAACATCATCAAATTTCAACTATCTCATTAATGTTATTGTATATTGTAGTCGGATTAGCGGAAACCAGTCCGCACAATCCGTTGAAGGTGCTTCATGGTTTACTAGAGACACCTCTCAGTTCCAAAGATGATGTGCCAGCCGTCTCCGTTATTGGAATCAGCAATTGGCGGTTGGACAAGGGTAAATCCAGCAGAGCATTGCTAGTTCAACGTCCATTGTTTGCTGAAAGTGATCTGGTTGATACCGCGGAGTGTTTGCTCAGTGGCACTAAATGTTTTGACAACATTAATCTTTTTTTAAAGAAGCTTGCAGATTCATATCTTCGTTACATAAAGAATCAACGATTCGCCAATTTTCATGGTAAGGTTAACAACTTTTAAAATGTCAATTGCTTCATGTGATTTTCTCATTATCGTACGAATTGCGGTTTTTTTTTCTTCCTTAGGGCTTCGAGATTATTATTTTCTCATTAAGAGCATAAGAAGTATGTGCAAAAAGGATAAAAAGGTATGCACTATTCAAACCTTCATTTATGGTTATATTGCCGTGACTAATTTTTCAAGCTTCCCCAGCCAAATATTCAACTAGCATTAGCTCGAAATTTCGGGGGAGCCGATAACATGGAGGAGCTGTGTACCATCTATTTTCAAATTGTTTTGAAGCCGGTCCATCTATCTAAATTTACTTATACACCCATACCTGTACAAGAACTTATTAATGCCAATCTTGCAGAAAAAGACGCTCGAAATCTTATGCTAATAGGAAATGGCAATTTCATTGTGACCTTTCTAACATATCAGCTTTGTCAACAAAATATTGAGCCGGTTGTGATTATTGGCTCTCAATTCCCTGAAGATATTGACGGTGTGGACTATTCATATGCTACTCTTAATCGCATAATGGTATTTGGAATTAAGAATTTTATTTTTGAAAATCATTAACGATCAAAATTCCTAATTTGCGTCTTTTTTTTTTAACCATGTTTCTGATAAAGATGTGCGTAGAAACAGGAAGATGTTTGATATTGACGGACCTTGAAATGATTTACGGTATGCAAAGAGATACCTCGTAATTTTTCGATGTGTTTAAGAATCTTGATAAAATTTTTACACACGTGTAGACTCTCTATACGACTTATTCAATCAACACTTCATAATGGCTGAGAATTCAAGTGACGAAAACAATCAAAGGAATTATATCAGAATTGGCATTACTCCATACTCCAATCCTATGTTATATGGCAAGTGTTTTGTTTTTTGTTTTTTTTTTGCAAAACCAAACATCCTATTCTACATCCACTAATCCATAAACCCTTTCTTCCTTTTCTTAGTTCATCCGAACTTTAGATGTATTTTGGTGTTGGATGAGGCAAAGTTGCCATATGCAGATCCAGCCCTCTTGAATCGCTTCGAAAAACAAAAGCTTACGCTTGAAGAAACCCTCGCCGAACGCGAAGCAATGATTTTCACCCTCCTAAAAGAGTGGACGCACCTAATCTCATCCATTCATGAATTAAGCGACGAGGATGCCGAAGTCCACTTCAAAGAAAAAGACATGTTTATTGGATTTTCATCTGAAGAGACACTGCAGAGTTTGATTATAGACCAATGTAAAAAAAATCCAGATTCAGACGATGACACAATCATTTCTTTATGCAAGGAATCTTTGATTTCTATTGCCACTTCAGACAGCATTGTTAGGGCTGATAAATCTCTTTTGAATCTAAGCGATCCTTTAGAGGTAAAAGAATGGCAAAGGGTCTATTTTCAGAATCAACGACATGGCAATGTTCGAGAATTTTTTCGCGCACTGTTAAATGACGACCTGACCGGTCATTTGACAATCATAAATACTTTCTCTGATATTAATACCGACATCAAATCATGCATGAATGGAATTTCGAGTTGTCAAGTAGATAAATTGTCAACATTCAGGTCCGAAGCTAAACTTCAAGAACAGATTAAACGTTTTTTATGAGTCCGAGCATAATTTGTATATATTGCAATGCGATCCCAAAACTATGAACGCAGGATGCATTAAACAAGCAAAGTTTATGATTGAGCAGTCTCAAAAGGAATTCATGGATAAGAAAGACCGACAAAATATCCACAGACCGGCTAAAAATGCGTGTATGGTCCTTCATCTTGGCAGATATTTTGAAGAAAATGTCACGGGTCCATTTAATTTTCCGAGCGGCTGGAATCAAATTACTATTGAAAACCTGACTGCATCGGAAAATTCATTTTCACTCTTCCTTCATCCAAATGTTGGCGAAATACCCGACAAAGAATTGTCGTTTGAACAAATCCTGAGTCAGGAATTGCCATGGTGCTTGCTTTGTATGAAACGT